ATATCAATATATATATCTATATACATTGCTTTCCATTTGAACCCTATTTAACTGCGCAGCGTTTTGCTTATTAGACACTCAAAAAAAAAAAAGCTTAAATAATAATCATCAGCCGCATCATTATAATTATGATCATTAACTTACTGACTGAGTGAACCATTGAAAAAAAAAATACTGTTGTTCCATTTCTCAGTTTTGTTTTGTTTGTATTGCTTTTGAATAATTTATGTCTGTTGGGTCTTTGGCTCTGCCCGAGGGTTTTCTTTCTTTTCATTTTGTTGAGCTTTTGCAGCTTTTTGTTTCTATTCGGATTTTACATAGTTAGAAATTGAAATTTACAAGATATCCCAGAGTCATTCAACCTAAACGTTTGTATTCTATTTAGGGCTTAACCTAGTTGACGCTGTTCATTGTTTTAGAACTTTTGATTGATTTATCTATTGGAAGAGTACAACATTTTTTTTGCTTTTACTTTTTTTTTTATATTTTGTAATAATTATATTTTCTCGATTCTTTTGCGGTTGGCGTTTATTTCATTTTTGTTTAGGCTAACATTCATATTTGTGTTTGTATTTAATTATAGTTTTTCATTTGATGCTGTGTATTTATTATATTGAATATAGATTTTGAAGTGCACAATTCTCTTATATACAAGTAACATATGTATATAAGCACAATAAGTAGTTTTAAATATTTATTTGTTCAAGTCACGTTTGACAGCAATTATTCAAGTTACAAAAATTGAAAAAAACCATGTATATTTAAAATGTAGGACAAAAAATCTTTAAACGTTCTCAATCGTTGCTCATATTTTATATTTAGATGCATAGCAGTCTCAAGTGTATATATTAGTAACGTCCAATTATATGTGATTAGATAACTTGTGAAATATCAGTAATATAACATGTAAAGAAATCTAAATTTAGTTTTATGGAGTTGACAGAGCTTAAGCAGAAGTTTGTGCGACTCTATCTGTCTCTCTCTATTACTTTACATTTAACTTTTGTTTTCTGCTTTGATTGGAACTTATAAGTACATGTAGTATGTACATATCTATAAGTAAACTATAATACATACATCAGCTAGGGTATTTAATCTTTGTTGCTTTGTTGATAAGTATTTTTTTTATTTTTTTTATGTAGATTTAATTTGGTGTTATCTACTATTTGCTTTTCAAGTGCATTTTGTTTCCATATCTTGGCAACAATTAGCGAAAGTATTTGCTGATTACAAATATTTATAATGCAAACACAAATTGTGAGTTAGCAAAAAAGGCAAGTCAAATTTATCAACATTGAAGTATATTTTTGGAATTCAATACAAACATACATATATACATTCAATTGTTAACTAGTTTTCGAATTGAACAGAAGAAGAAGAACAAATCAAGTAAATGCCGATAAAAGCAGAAACCAGATTTTATTTTTACCGCCTATAATTTATTCCCAAAACGTCGTTTTGTTTTTGTTTTTTTTTTTTTTTTTGCCTGAAACTTCAATTTTCAGGTTTCATTAATTTGCAAGACGAGTAGGTAGCAAAGCAAACATTTTGGCCAAAACAACTTAAATTTGGACACAACAATTTAGTGACCATCAACAACAAATATTCATACATATGTATATTTGTATTTGTATTTGTATTTCATATGTAGTTGTACGTACGCTTGTTAATAGGCCAAAACGTGCTGAAAGCTGAAAGAGATATTTGGCTTGAATACTATTAAAGGGGATTAGAGTTTAGTGTTTCCCATATTTAAAACTCGATTTTTTACGGAAATAATTAGCATTTGGCATTAATATGAGTTATGATTTTGTTATTGAACAATTTTTATTCACATAAGAAGTATATTTAAGTAGTATCGCAAAATTAAACTCACTCCTAGTTTGAAATCATGGCAAAATTTTTTTTTTTGTATAATTGCATTCAAGACAGTCAAACTTCTAGGCATAAGTTAGGAAATGGGGAAACATTATGCTAAAAAATATCTAACAATTTTAATTTAAATATACAATTTATCAATTGAACAAAAATTGTTTTTGAACACATCTCGTGTTTTTAAATTAAGGAATTGTCTGGGCCCATTTAAAATATAAAAGATTTGTCTCTTAGGAGTATAAAAATACTTACTTGCCATTAGAAATAGTTAAACATCAATTTTCGAGACAACATTGAAAATATTTTACCTTGCTTAAGTTCATTTTAATTTATATACTAAGTGCAACAGTCTATTCGAGAATGTGGCAATTTCATTGCTTAATTCTTATACAATATGGCATAGATCTTATGTGAGATATATATTAATGACTTGCTTAGCTGTTGTTGCTTGCAAATTGTTTAACCTTGAACTAATTTCTATTTAAATATTATTTTCTCGGATTTGCTGCAAATGTGCCAGAAAATTGCGTCACACGCGCAGCAAGTGTCAAAAAAAAAATTTAAAAATAAAAAAAAAAAAAAAAAAAAAAAAAAAAACCAACAAAATCTTCTTTTAATTTCCATTATAATAATTTAACCTGCATTGTAGATTACGGCAGCAATTAGCTAAAATTTGACATTTGAGTGCTAGAAGTCTGTCAAATGCTGCGATATTTATTTATTTATCCTGTGTAATGTTTTATATGAACCACATTCTATTTGTCTATGAATTGTTCGAAAATTTTCCATTTTGAAAAATTGCCTGAAATCTATTTTCAGTACATATTATAGATATGCGTTTTGGCCACTCGCCAGTGGCGAGAAGCAGCAGAAGAACCACGCACTATATGTCATATTTTTTTATGCTGTGTAGAAATGTGGACTGGTAATGCTTGGACAGCTGCCGCCTTATGATAGCCATGAGTAGCTATCGTAGCTGCACACTCCAAACTGAAATGAATCACAAAGCATTTAGCTTTTTGCATTGTCTGGTTTGATTTCTGTTTAATTATTTACACATTGCTGTTCTTTAATGAATTGTTTATTATTTATATGAAATTTTGTGCGTTTGCGCAGAAGCAAAAGGTTAATAACATTTGAAGTAATTATTCTCGATCTAAATTAAAAAATCTTTCTGAAAAAATGCGTATTTTAATTTTTAAGTACATTAAATATATTTGATATAAAAGGGAAAATAAGAAATGTGTATATAGCCTTTTTAACTATTTAAAAATAAGAATTACAATTTGATAGTTCACATTCCAGACATACCTCAAATGATTCCAGTATAGATCTAGCTTTAAAAAATTTGAAAAATAAAAATAACTTAATATTTTAAATCATTTTAATCTTATTTGAAAACCTTACCTAATAGCTCAACTTTGGTCACCCTCGATAGCTATCTAAATTTATACTATATCTATGTACATTTTGTCTAACATGATATCATCAGGCTTTGAAATTCATTCTAAAATTTCACTGATAATTCAATTAATGCAAACATTAGCTACAAGCGTCGGCAACACTTAATGCCGACAAAGGGAGACAAAAAGAGAGCAAGGTATCTGTTTACTGGGAAATATATCTTATCTCTTGTTTTTTTGTTGTTTATCAGGTAACTTTTTGTTGTCGCCTTCCGCGAGGCTCGACAATTCGTTGCTTGTCTTACATTTAATTACAAATTGCATTGGCACTGTTTATACACAATTTTCTTATGTTTTCTTTACGAAAAAAAACATTACAGAGGAGCAGGAACGTGTGCAGAAGAAGACATTCACTAATTGGATTAATTCATACCTATTGAAGGTGAGTTGTTGTGTCTCTCTCAATGTCTTCGTATCAGTTCAATCGATGCGAAGCACAATTTTTATCTACATTCTCTGGCCGAAAAAAAAGCATATCGATTGCAAATTAGTCAAGAGCAATAAAATTGAAAAAAAAAAAAAAACGTGCGAAATCGTGGCCCGACCCTGAAATATAGCTTGTGTTTTCTTTTTCGCAAAAATTGAATTGCGTGCTAAATTTTTAATTAATAAATAAAATGAAATGATTTGATTCTGTTGAGGACGTAGCCAAGATACGATTTACCCAATTGTCAATTGGCCAATGCCAAGTGCAGTTAGAACTGCAACCGTCTTCTAGCCCACTTTCACCTCGCCAACGTACGTATATGTATATCCTTTCTAATTTAAACACCTAACAGCGCCAATTTGGCCATCCAGTCCATTCACTTTGGTAATTGCCGAGACAGCTCAGACAATTTACAGCTGCCAACTGAGAAGCGTTTAAAACAAGTGGTCTGACAACTTGGTATAGTTAATGCAGTTTTGAGATATACAGATATATTAGCACTAATTAAGATATTTAGAGAAGGCTATAATATACTAGAGATATAGACAGACTTTTTGGTTGATATTGCCTGTAATATATAGGTATTATGTATATACTTTTTGTATGATGAATTTTTATAAAGAACACTAAGATTTAACCGCTGATTGCAATAGATATCATCTGATTTATATTAAAGCTTTGTCATTACGCCCTCTTTCACACACCCTTCATTAAAAATCTTTTTAATAATTTCTATAGCCTGTTTGAAGTTTTTTTTAGGCATGACACAGCACATTGATGCACTCATGATATTAGGAATGCAATATTATGAGCAAGGTTGCTAAATGCAAAGTAAATAAAAATGTTTAGCTACGCTCAGCCGACAGCATAATACTCGCTCAAAGCTCAAAAAGAATAAAATTATATATAGTGAAACAAATAAATATTTTGGGGTTTTGCCTGGCATATATTCGTAGGGTATATTTTGTTTTCCTTCATACAAATAGATGAACAAACAGCAAGACAGAAATTTTAGTAAACCAATATATTCTTTTCACTTGCTAAGCAAAATAAAAGCGGTTCGTTCCACGGTTCATATTCAATGCATAAAACAAGTTTTAGACATCTCAAAATCGTTGATATCTTACTTTATTGATCAAAATATACAAAATGAATTATTCAATTTGAAATTTATATTCAAAAAATAAATATTTCTACAAAAAAAATAAAATTGTGTAAATTGGAAGTTTCAGCCAAAATTGGAATTTACCAAAAAAAAGGTTGAGTCAAACATCCACGTTAGGCTGATTTATATTTATGCTTTATGGCTGGACAAAACTTTATTTATATAAGTATAAATATGAATTAATAATATGGCAGCTCATTTAATATAGCTTCATTCCATTCAGATTATAAAGCCAAATTGTCATTGCAGGTATTAGTCTGCGTGTCGACTAAGACGGTTTGCAGCCTCAGCTGTATACCTGTTCCCAGCTGTTGATCCAACAAACCTTAATGACAGCGCTAACGCAAATTTGTTTAAATTTTAGTGGACCCTCAATAAATTAAAAGTGAATTATACTGCACTGCACATACCCACAACTACAACAACAACAACAACAACAAATTGAGTTAAAGCGAATCATGCTCGTGCCTGGCTATTGAGCTGTCAGCCGGAGGCTGAAAAAAAAAACGGCCAGATTCATGCCGAAATATGTCGGCAACTGGGAATGTGACAGGCGTGTGATGCTTGCTATTGTTATTGTCATTGTTGTGGTTGCTTTTGAGCAGCGCATGAATTAGTTAATAAATTTTAATCAAATCCCGTGAACAATGACCACAGTGCGTATTCGGGTCGTCCACTGAATGAATGACTGACTGAGTGACTTACTAACTGACTGAGTGAGTGAATATGTGAGTGAGGGAGAATGACATAACTGGTTCACCTTGTACTGAAATAGTTACAAAAATGAAAAAACTTGAATTTGGTCGAGGGACACGCCCATTTGTAGGCAGTCTTTACAAATTGTAGGCCCCAAAGAAGAAATAGAAGTACTAACTAATATCTGGCAGCCAAGACGGATACACTCGCGCTGCTAGGCGTAAATTGACAGCTGCTCAATATGTTAGGCAAATACAATCTCAATAAATTACTTTTAGTTAGCGCATCGACAATAGACAGCATTCTGCCCGGGCATCGACAATTTCATGTTTTACTCTCGATGAAATGTGCTAATCAAGTGTTGTTGTGCAATTGCAAAAAAAAAAAAAATAATAAGAAAAGTAGTCAGAAATGAAATGAAATAAGCAAACATTGAACAAATTGTTGCCGTTGTTGTTGTTGTTGTTTCGCATATTAAATGATTCATTTGCATATTGCATAACGGACCCAGCTCAACAACTCTGCAATTGGCTGAAATATGACTTCAATCAATGATCTCATGAACTGCCCACGCCTATTTTATTTAAAGGTTTCCCCATTTCCTTGACACGTCTGCAATAAATTTTAGTGTTGCCAACTTTTTAGCTAACGAAAATTTCGCTGAATAGGAAGGAATAACATGTTTTGGCTTTTTAAAAGCTATATTTCAGATATAATAAATAAGATTTGATTTGTGTATATGTAGCTATGTCCTAGATTTTTTTGATTACCGTTCAAGTCATCATCATTTTTAGCTGTTTAATTGTAGAAATAAGTAATCAAAATCTTGTTGTACACAGCTAAAAACTTGTCTAACATTAATCAAAACTGGACGAAGTACGCAATTCCATTTTGCTGTCAGAAAAGAGGCTTACACTTTATTTACAATCATTTTTAATGTTTATTTGTTATAAAAGTTTATTTAAACAACTTAAGCATACCTCCTGATTGATATTGAATCATAACCTACTTGATAGGCTTAATATATTATATATAGTTGTAACATAAAAATTTCCAAATTTTCTCAGAGTCTATAGTCTACTGCTAGGTGAACTCTGATCCGCATTGATGGATCTACTCAACTAGACTCAAAAATCCTTATGGGCTTTATAGCAGATAAACAGCTCAGAGCTAGCTAATTGTTAAGGAATATAATACGTGTAATCGCCTTCAGAATATATATAGTATTAGCTTTTTTATAGCTTTTTATTATAGAAATATATATCGATATTTATAAGTCTAGACTTGTACTCAGCTTTTCCAGAAATCACACCAGATATTTCAGACGCAGAAATTCGTAGCTTTTTTCTTGAGCTTTTCAATGCTATATGCCAGTTAATAGGCTGAAAAGGAAAGGTGCTTGGCTCAGCACTGGCTGTCTGTATCTGCGACTCCTTTTATTGCCAGTCACTTTTGTCGATTTGAGCGCTTTACGACTATGGCCGGCTTTCCGGCTGCGCCTTATCGAGTACCCGCAATCCCCGCACTGGCATGCAGAGCCCGAAGAACTGGTTTTTATGGCCGGCCGGCAAAATGTTGTAGTACATGTGCTCAAGCGCAAGCGATACACAAAAAAAAAAAAAAAATAAATAAAATAAAGAAATGCCGGCTCACGTCTGCAGATTGAAGTTGTATTAAAAGATAACACATTAGAGACCACAGACAACGTATCTCTCGCTCTCAGTGGAGTGCTCTACGGAAAAGTGCATTAAATCAACGTTCGCCAGCCCGAAAGTAAGTCAGTGGGCGTTGCATATTGTTGCGTGGGCAGCCCATGGATTGTGTGTTGTGCGGACTAATGGCAGCAGCTGCCACTGCCACTGCCACTACCAAGTCGATGTAAGCCAGGCTAAGTCTTCTGGCCGGGCCACACATGCAACGGAATTGCTGCTGTCATTAATGCAGCATTGTTGCTCCACTCAGCTCCCAGCACCATTTTTTTTTTGCTGTCGCTTGTTGTCTTTCGTTATTCGTTATTCTTTATAGGCCAACGCATGTCTGGCTATGAACTTGGCTTGCACGTAGCCATTTCTTGAGCATTTTGCATGCCTTGAACCACACTCGCACTCCATGTTGCCATTGGGCTTTGCGGAATTTCTCGCATTGGCAAATTCCATGAACGTCTTAGGTGCGTGCCTACCAGTTGACTTTAAGTTATTCCTAGAAAGAACGCACAGTAGACAATGGCAAAGAGCTATAGAAAAACAAACAAGAATGGTTTGTCTACCCAGATGCCAGCTCCCTGAACCTCTTAGATGCTACCTATTTATATTCGACCAGGGTTCAGTCTCGTAAACAAAATATGTAGGAGGCGTGCGACATTTATTTTTATGCCCAACAAATATTGTGCTACCAATATTTATTGACTAAGATATATAGCCATAGAAAATACTTTTCAAATATAAATATAGCTTTGAGCCTCAGCTTATGTGTCTATTATTTTTCAGTCGAGAATATGGCTATTGGTATTTCCTATACCAATTTCGTGCAGCTAAAAACATTTTAATATGTGTATAAGTATATTATTTGTAGATTATCTGAATTTAAACTTTTATTTCGAATACATTTATATTTGATTGAAATTTCATGTTGTATATTCAGCAAAGAGGAAAAGAGTGCTTATGTAGGAGATACTATGAGCGAGGAAACGTTCAAGTTTTGTAATTCTGATAAATTCAATTTACTTCAAAAATCCATCCAGATATTCGCACTCTTAAAACCAACTTCATATGCCCAATAAACATAAAGAATCAACAATAATTTTTAATAGCTTATTGTAAGCTAAAAGTTAGCAAGAACATGACAAGACAAAAAGCTGTTATAAAAGTTTGACATGATTGCCAGACAACACTATAAATTCTGTTGAGAAGTGCAAAGAGAGGCGTTATTGCTGCGAAACGAGCGGAAATACTGAAATTGAATTCGCATTGTATACAGCATAGTTTCTTAAATAGTTGCACCAACTCTCCGGCCAAACAGCTCGAAATAGACAAAACTTTTGCCGTCATTTGCATGTCCGCAACAGTTGAGGCCAAGTTTTCACAAACTATTTGCCTTGATATAGGTGAAGTCGAGCATGCTATGCAGCCGAGGCTCAATTAAATTGTAAGCTCAAATGATAATAGCTGTTCGGTCATGATTTCTTTAGTTTTACGTTTTCGATTGTGGTCGTTGCCATTTCCGTCGTTATGCCATTAACTTAAATTGCAATCTTAGCGGTGAATCCGGCTTAAATGGTCGCGCGTGCCACTCGACAATTTGTCTGGCGAGGCAAGAGTTAAATAAATGAGCGCCGTGCTCAGATATATCAAGAATTTAAATTAATTGAATGTGATTTACGTTAATTATTTAGCTAGACTTCTGGGCATATCTTGGCGACAAATTTGTCTGCTGCAATTAATTAATTAGACGAAAAGGCAAAAGTGTTTTCAGCATTTGGCGCTTCATAAATTATATTGATTGAGTCATGCATATGCTAGTCATATATCTATATGCATATACGTATATATATACTTCTATATATATATTGCTGTATATTCATTATGCACACAGTTAATGTGCTCATAAAAAGCCCATTAAATGTTGCAGCCAAAGGCACTTCAAAGTCGGTGTTGACGTCTGTCTATTTCGCTTTAGTACTCATTAAATACTGCAGTTATGTGTTAACTCTTATAAATGTACATATATTACGATTGTAAAAGTTTTCCAATATTTTTCAATATAGCTAAATTTAGTGGATTATGGAGCTCATTTTAATCAACTATTTAAATTTGATATTGTTAAATTTATTTGTGAATTCATTTTGTTATGCAACATGTTACATTCATACGGTATTTCACATTAGAAATGCTCCTAAAAATGATCCCTATTGTTGAACACATTTCAAAATGGTAAAACAGGGTTTTGTATTTATTGTTTTTGTTGTGTGTAATGTACATATTTCATATTTCTATACATAAATAGTGCACAATTTTAATTCGTTTGGATAATATTCCAATAAAAATAAGACATGTATTTTAAGTTCTTCACCCAGTTACAACTGAAGAACAATAATTCCAGGGTATTATAAATAAGTTTCATCTCTTTATTTATTTCAATTTATTTGTTTTCGTATTTTAAATTCTATTACCACCTGGCTTTTTATTAAGGTTATACTACCTAATTTCTCTAGAAATAACTCCAATTGCCATTCCTTCCTATCAGTTAGACTTGCTAAAAGTACGGAATTTAAAAATTTGATACAAAATTAAATTTTTATAAAATGAATACAATTTTTATCAAGTAAATATCATGTATTTTACTTTAATGCCAAAATCTATTCTCCTTTTGCAGCGTGTTCCACCGCTTCGTATTGATGATTTAATCAATGATTTACGCGATGGCACGAAACTCATCGCACTGCTCGAAGTGCTGTCCGGCGAACGCTTGCCCGTGGAGAAGGGCCGCGTCCTGAGGCGTCCACATTTCCTTAGCAATGCGAATACGGCTTTGCAATTTCTAGCCAGCAAACGTATCAAATTAGTCAATATTAATCCCGCAGATCTGGTGGATGGGAGACCACCAGTTGTGTTGGGTCTGATATGGACGATTATATTGTACTTCCAGGTAAGCATTTCAGTACTGATTTAAGCAGCTAAAACATTTCACTCTCAACACAAGGTGCACGGTTTTTTTTTTTCATAAAAAAATTGAAGCACTTGAACAAAAATAAAAACAATTACTAATTGGTTGCTTGCGGTCCATTTTGTCACCCCTAATTTCGACCACCAACTTATCAAGCACCAAATAGCTATTCACAATGCTAATTATCTAAATGTAATTAACCCTATATATCTTCTTTTTTGTATTTTATTTAAAAAATAATTGAAAAAAAATTAATTTCTAATAAAAAAAAAAAAAAAAAAAACAAGCTTCGTAAAAAGAGGCGGAAAAACTTAGTTGTAGTTATAAATTATGCGCCACAGGTAGGTTGAACTCGTTGTAAACAGTTGTTGGTGTGTTGTCTATGCGTAACCCTATCTCATTTTCGATCATTAAACTCTTAAGTTGGTAGTCTCAATTATTAAAGCACCTCAAACTTATGATTTGATCATTAAGTGTCGCTGCTGCCTCTATCACGTATATCTATCTCTAATATTGACTACTTTCACAGATCGAGGAGAATAGCCGCAACCTAGAATATTTGGGTCATGGTATTGGCGGTTCGGTTAGCTCGCTCGACAGTGTTGGCAATCATAAGGCTGGCGGTGATCTAAGAGCTGAGAAATGGAAGCAAGGTGCCAAGAAAACGCTACTCAATTGGGTAACGAATGCCTTGCCAAAGTGAGTATATAAATTACTAGATTCCAATTGAGATTATGATACATATCGAACTTTTGCAGAGACAGTGGTGTAGAGGTTAAGGATTTCGGCGCTAGCTGGAGAGATGGCGTCGCTTTCCTCGCACTTATCGATGCTATTAAAGCGAATCTGGTTAATTTAGCTGAGCTAAAGAAGACCAGCAATCGTCAGCGTTTGGAAACAGCTTTCGATGTGGCCGAAAGCAAATTGGGCATCGCCAAAATTTTGGACGCTGAGGATGTGGACGTACCCAAACCGGATGAGAAGAGTATAATGACATATGTGGCGCAATTCTTGCACAAGTATCCCGAACCAAAGGTGTGTATAAATTTGATTACATGAATGAATGAATTATAGGGTATGGTCTATGTCAGACGAGTGCAATGTCAATCCTAAGCTCCGCTGACTAAGACCTTAATTTATATATAAACTAGATAAGCCCTGCAGTTGTAGCTCATTCACATTACAAATTTGAACTAATTAAAATGATATATTTTCCAGGGTGCATCCCGTGACGAGTCGCATGTGCAACAAGAAGTGGACGAATTGCGTCGTTTCCTGTTGGAGAAGACCACCGAATACGAGCCGATGGTCATGATGAGTTCGTTCCCACGTGATTTTAGTGAATATCTGTTGGCACGTTCTGAAGTTGATGCACACTTGCCTGCTTATAACCGACTCAAGCAACTGATTGAGAGCCAGAGCGGTTTTCTGCAGGTCTCACGTCAATCGTGGGATGAGATTAACGAGCTGTGGCAGCGTCTACAATACCAGATGATGTACTGGCTCTGGCTATTGGACGCCGAGCTGCCCGGCGATTTTGGTGCTGTGGGCAAATGGCTGGCCGAGGCCGAGAAATTGCTCATGGACAACGATATACCGAATGCGATGAATGAGGAAACAGCCGCTGTGATTAGTAGAAAGCTGGAGGAGCACAAGCTGTTCTTTGCCGATCTGCCACGCATTGTGGCCATGTTCGACAATGCCAAGCGCTCGCCGCTGGCCCAACAGGTGCCGCTGGAGCAGCTGCGCAACATGGAGCGTCGCCTGCAAGAGGTGGGCCCCAGGGCCGCGGAGCGCCGAATTCGCATGAAATTCCTCGAGCACAAATGTTGCCTGATTGCCTTCCTCAATTTGGTGGAGAACAAGATGCGTGGCTGGACCGGCAAGTACGGGCCCGAGGAGAAGGTCGCCCACCAGCTGGAGCAATACAAGAACTTCGTCTCACGCAACAAGATCTTCCAGGAGTTCCAGAAGGCATTCGTCGATATGCAACAAGTGGTCGAGGAGTACAAACGTGACGGCAATGTGGCCCGCAAGGACATCAATGAAATCGATCGCTTTATGTATGAGACCGAGGAGCGCTGGAAGCGTGTCTCCATGGAGCTGAAGTGCTGTCAAAATTCCCTCGAGGAGGTAGTCAATTGTTGGCGCAACTGGAATCAATTGGCGCCCAGCTGCGAGGAGTGGCTGCTGCTGGCCGAACAGAAACTGAATCAGAGCGAAGACGATCGCTTGGAGTTCTTCCAGGACATAACTGTGTGGAAGGATAAATTCGATGCTTTGGCCAATGCTGCAAACTATTTGATTGCCTCCTGCGAGGAGCCAATTGCTCAGCAGCTGCGTCAACGTCATGGCGCCCTAGCTGAGCGCTTCGAGCGTCTCTTCGCCAATACCAAGCAATATATGCATGCTGGCGACATCATACGCTCACGCCAGGAATACAAATCGGGCATTGAGAAGCTCTCCAAGTGGCTGCGTGGTGCCGAGAGCATCCTGGATCAGCGTCAAGTGCTGGGCAACAGCGAGCAAATCCGTCGCTACGGCGAGCAGCTGCAGCAGCTGGCCAGCGAAATCGACGACAACGAGGAACTGTTTAAGAACATCAGTCGCACCTTCCAGTCGCTCATTCAGGATCTGTCGCGCGACGAGGTCGACAAAATGATGAAGCTGCTCAAGCAGGAGAAGGAATCGCTGGTGCGCATACGCGGCCAACTGCCCGCCAAGCTGCATCTGTTCCATCAGCTGCAGATACAGCAGGAGTCGCTGGAAGCGGGCCAAAAGGAAATCCACCAATGGCTAAACGAGGCCGAACAGCTGCTGGGCACCCACAATCTGGCCGGAGGACGCGAATCTATCAATGAGCAGCTGCACAAGCACAAGACCTACTTCTCGCGCACCGTCTACTATCGCTCCATGCTGGAGAGCAAGAACAAGGTGTTCCAGAATTTGGTTAAGGCTGTCTCGGCCGATGATAAAATCGACACGGCACCAGCCGCACAGCAAATGCAACAGCTAAACGAACGCTTCAACTATGTCATACAGAATGCCGGCAAATGGGAGCAACGCTTGGAGGACGCTGCCGGCGGCTGGAGCAAGTTCAAGGATAACGAACGTGTTGTCAACGAATGGCTGACACAGGCCGAGTCGATGCTCGTAGAGAAGCACATTGAGTCGAAGACAACAATTGAGACTCAAAAGTATTTCTTCGAACAAGTCAACGATCGCTGGATGAACGATCTGGTGCAATCGGCCCAGCAGCTGCTGAACACTCTGCCTAGCCAGGAGCAACCGGCTGTGGTGCAAAGTGTGGAGCAGCTGCAGTCGCGCTGGAAGAATGTGCTTGCCCAGGCGCCGTTGCATCTGCTCAAGCTGGAATTCCGTCTGGATGAGAACGCGTTCTATCAGTCCCTGAAGGATGTTGAGAAGGAGCTACAGCTGGAGCAACAGGCTCTGAATCGTAACGAGGATGTCGATTCCATCCTGCAGCGCAATCAGCAATTCTTGGTGCAACAGGACACTGTGCCACGCCTGGAGAAATGTCTGCAGAATATGCAGCGCTTGGCCCAGGCGCACAGGCAACAGCAGCCCGGCGACTTTAGTCTGGATCAGGCCTACGATAATGCCAAGGCCCAGTGGCAAATTATGTCCAATAAATTGGCCGACATGCGCCAGACACTGCAGCAAATACCAGCTCAATGGCAGGGCTACCATCTGAAGTTCGATGAGATGATCAACTGGATGAACAGCGTGGATCAGAGCCTTAAGAACATTGTTAACGAGGTCAACACCATGGAGGAGTTTGAAAAGGAGAAGGTCGTTTTCCAGGTGAGTTCAATGCTAATCGATTAGAGATACCTGAATATATAAATATATATAAATGCCAACATTTATTCTGCTTGCATGCAGCTGAGGGAACTAGTGGTAAAAAAATTGTTTTTTGCTAAAATAAATATATAATATAAATTTCTTTTCTGAATGATGGCACTAATCGAATATTTCTCATTGTAGAAAATCTGCCAGGATGCAGATAACAAACGTGAGGACATGAAGTGGCTGGTCAAAACGCTAGACTCTCTGCTCAGCTATGCCACCGAAGACGAGGCAAATCTGGAGCAAAAGAAGCTGGAAGATCTAATTGCACGCTACAAGAACCTTATACCCACCATTGAGATAACAATGGTCAAGACCGAGGTGTTCTCCAAATGCTATACATATCGTCGCGAAGTGCACGAAGTTGTTTGCCTGCTGACCAAGGTCAAGGATCAAACGGCCAATATTCCAGCGCCCGAAAGTCTGGACCGTGTTAATCGCCTAATTGAGGAGCAACAGTATGCCATCAATCAGCTCGATCATCAGCGGCCACACATCATGTCCATGCTGCAACGTGGACGTGATCTCAGCAAGGATGTGCACGCCCCAGCCTTTGTCAATGCCGAGGTGAAAAATCTGGAGACCGGCTGGAATCAAGCTTATACCGAAACCGCAGATAAGCTGCAAGCGCTCAAGGGCACTCAGGCAGTGTGGAGCGAGTTTGTCGACCAGAAGAACGATATCTTCTCCATGCTGCAAACCGCTGAGACAGAGCTGCGCGCTCTTACCCCACTCCAGACGGATCCCAAGAATGTCAGTCAAGATCTGAAGTCGAAGCGTGATCTGAATGTGCAGCTGCAGCAGGCATCGCATCAATTGTTGCCCAAGCTGCATGCCCTGAAATCGGAGCTGGCGCCGCTAGCCGCTGCCGATAAACGTCCCATACTCGAGAAGGAGGTCACTGAGGTAGAGAAGATGTTCTTCAATACCATGGAGCACGTCAAAGATCGTGTGGGCTACCTGGAGGACTACAGTGCCAAGTGGAATAACTATAAGACGCGTCTAGCCGAGCTGCAGGAATGGGCCAACAAGGTAGCACCCAAGAACATTGAAGCCCTCCAATCCGAGGATCTGACGCCGGAGGAGCGCGTTGTCAAGGTGCAGTCCTTCAAGCGTGTGCTCGGCGAGCGCATGAAACAGCTGGATCTACTGGCCGCTGATGCATCGGAGCTGGCACCCAAAGAGGGCAACATCGCCGAAGCGAAACGACTTAAGGGTGAAATCTCCAAGCTGCAGGAAGTGCTCAGTGCCATCAATCGCAATGTGGATCATCAGGCACAGGCCGTGCAGGAGGATCTGATCAACTGGCAGCAATTCCAGGCCGGATTGCAACAGATCAAGCCCGCTGTGGAGCAAAGCGAAGTCAAGGTAAATAATATAGTTCCTAAACCTATTACACTTGATGAAGCCGTTGCCTTGCAACAAAATGCCAAACAATTTGAAACACACTGCCTGGAGCAATTGGACAAACTCCATGGCATATCAAACATCAGTCATAAAATGTTATGCAAAACCAATGCCCCCGATGAGTTAGATGCCATGCACTCCCGCTGGACAGCGGTCCATGAAAACGCGAAACAGGCGAGCGCCAAGCTCGAAAAGCTCGTCGCCAATTGGAAGTCCTTCGATGGCGATGCAGCCAAATTGGAGGATTGGATTGATCAGGGTGCACAGCAGATGGGTAAGCGTCCGGCTGTGCTAAACACTCCGCACATCGACAAGCTCGAAAAGGAGCTGGTCAAGCTAAAGTCCTTCAACAATGAGATATCTCAGCAGCAGGCCAAGCTGGTCGCTCTTGGCCAAAATGCCGATCAAATCAGTTTGCATCTGGCGCCAGAGGGCGCTGTAGCTGTCAAGGATCGCGTCAATAATATGAAGGGTAAATTGCAGAAGTTGTCAGAGGCTACACGCGGCAACATCAACGAGGTCTCCGATGCGATTATTTCGCGTCAAGACTTCAATGCCAAATTGGTCAACTTCTCCAACTGGATGGAACAGTTGCGCAATCAGGTTACACAGGTCGAGGAAATCAATCCGGAGCGTGTCGAGACCAGTTTGCATGTCATCCATGCATTGCTGCAGGAGCATGCCGACAAGAAGCCCAGTTTCAATGCCATCTACGATGAGGTCAAGCAACTGGCACTGGGCGCGACTCCAGAGGAGTCTAATGCACTGAATGATGCGTATACCGCCCTTGTGGTGAACTACCAGAACTTGGAGTCGAACATGCTGCAAAAGAAGGCCGCATTAGAGAAGTGGACCGAGCTTTTGGGCTGGAAACATGATACTGAATCGCACTTGAACTACTTGAAGCATCAATTGGAAAAGCCCGAGGGACCCTCTGTTGAGGAGCTAAAGAAGGCCATCGATGAAATCGATCATCTGGGTCAGGGTCTGAGCTACTGGAAGGGACAAGCCAAGGAAATCGATGAGAATCCAGCCATACAACTACGTGATGCACTGTCTCGTCGACCACTGATCGCCACACAGATCGTTAATGATCTGGAAAACAAGTTGGAAAATCTGAAACTCCGTTCGCAGAATCAACAGCAACAGCTGCAGCAGATGACTGTGCGCAAAGACAAGTTCCATGCACTGGAGCACAACTTTGGTCAGGCACTGCAGGAGAATCGCGAAAAGCTCGACCAAATCCTCAAACAGCATCCCAATTTGAATAACATAGATCAAATCATTGCCGATCTTGTGGCGCTGAATGATGCGCTTAAATATCAGGCAGATCTTAAGGATCGCATTCACGACGAGGGTTCTCTTTTGATGCGTGAGGATATTGCCAGTATGCCGGCCATTCAGGAGAGTCTCCTGGTGTTGGATAAGAACTACGATTCGCTGCAAAATGAAATAGCTGATCGCATCCAAAAATATAATCTCATCAGTCAGGCCTTGCGGGAGTACGCCGAGTCCAAGGACAAGTTCTCCAAGGAACTCAAGAAAGCCGAAGACTTGTTCAATGCCATACCCCAACAGCCAGGCGATGAAACCGCCCTGCATCAGGCGTCTGAGAAGACACGTAAGACCATGGAGCAGCTACGCAAATCCAAGATGAATCTCGATGAACTCGAACGCCGCGGCAACAATGTGGCTAAATTGTTCACAGCCATTGGTGAGCCGGTGCCCCAAGAGGTGCAGCAAGAGGTTGCCGCTGCCAAGCAGCAATGGCAGGACCTGCACGACAAGACGGCCAAGAATGCGCATGTCTACGAGACTGAAGCAGTCATTTGGTCTCAAATTGAGGACGCCAAAAAGGATCTGCTACCTTGGCTCTCGGAAACCAATCAGGGTCTTTGCGATGCTGCCGATAATTCAATTGAAATCGAATTCGGACCTATGCGTCTAAGCAAATATCGCAACGAGCTGCCTTCTTATCAAGCCCTTAAAGATACAATCCTTGAGAAGACCAACGATTTGATCAAGATCAACAATGGACAAGAGATACCCGCCTTGAGTGCACTCAATCAGCTGCTGAATGAACAATTTGCCGAGGTAAGCAACAATGCCGAGCGCCTGAGCGCCGTCACCACATCGTTTGCGGATCAGGAACAGGAGCTACGTCGACGCAGTAAGGTAGCCGGCGAGCAGGTGAGCAAGCTGCGCGAACAGCTGATCAAATGCGACGATATGTCTGGCGATAACAACAAGATCATGGAACGATTGCTGCAATGCCGTGCACTGCGCGCTCAGCTGGATCAAAGTGGCAACGAAATCGAAAATATCAAACAAAATGTGGATGAACTGCGTAATTTATATCCCACATTCAATGAGTCCATCATACCCAAGGAGCTGAACAATGTGCAGAAACGGTACGAGGGCGTCGATCTCTATGCCAAGAAGATTGAGAGCTCATTGCTGCAGTTCCTCAAGAAGTTCCACGCGGACAAGGTAGGCATGCTGAAGCGTCTCATTGCCACACAGCGCGAGAAGGTCGCATGGTGTCAGCCAGAGTCGACAAGTGACAAATACAATCTGGATGTAAAGAAGTCCTCGCTGCAGGAGGTCAGCAAGAGCATTGACGACTGCAAGGCGCGTCATGCTGAAACACTAAGATCCCTCGAGATGCTGAAGGCCGTGGAAACTCCAGAAAACCTGGCCGAGTTGAATGCCGATGCTGAGCTCATGGGCAAGGAAATGCAAGCGTTGCAGGACAGCTTTGATCGCATCAAGGACATCCTGGATGAGAACGTTGATCTCTGGACACAGTATGAGCAATCAAACGAGCAAATCTCCAACTGGCTGCGGGATGTGGAAGGTCGCGTTAAGGCGGAGACCAGCAGCCAGGTGAATCTGCCCGAGGTGGCGCAGAAGTTGCAGGAGCTGGCCATACTACAGCAGGATGTGCTCGCCCATGAGCCAATTATCAACAATTTGGAGCGTACGTCACAGCAGCTGATCGAAAAGAATCCAGAGGCGCGTATTGGACAGTTCGTTACGCATTTGGTGCAGCGCTACCAAACCGTTGCCAAGAGCCTTGGCGGACACATTGACAAAATACGCAATGCACAGCTGTCGAATGCCAACTTTGCCAAGGCATCGAAAGATTTTAACGAATGGTTCGGCGATGCCAAGATTGAGTTCCAGGAACTGGCGCGCATGGGATCTCCAGGCTCTTCGTCAGCTACGGCCCAACAATTGCAGACCATCAAGAACTATCTGAAGACCTTCGACAATGGTCAACTATTGCTAAACAATGCTGTCGATATTGGTGAAGGACTTTATCCAGTCGTCTCGCCTGAGAATCGCGAACGCATTCGAGCGGATCTACGTCAAATGCGTGAGAAATACGATTATTTGCGCGACGAGGCCAATGCGTTGATGCAGCAGGTTGAGGGCGTGCTCATACAAAAGACATCCATTGAGGAGAGTTATACTCAGGTGTCGCACTACCTGAACGAGTCCAAGGCTAAGGTGACTGCAGCCGATGAACTCTATCCCACACTGGCAGCCAAGAAAGCAGCTCTTCAAAACTATAAAACGCAATTGCAGGAAATCACATTGCACAAGAATGCGCTGAAGCAGTTGCACGATAAGGCGGTAACACTATGCGACGATGAATCAGAGCGTAAAACGGATGAATCCATTCAGGAATATAATACGCTATCGAAGCAGATTTCGGACCGCATCAATACCGTAGGCAATCAAGTGTCCCAGCATGAAGCTTATGATCAGGTGCTGGAGAAGGCGCAGGATTGGCTCAACACCATCAAATCGGAGGCAATCGATATTTTGAATGAAACCACATTCGAGAAGGAGGGCGCCGAGGAGAAATTAATTGTCGTTGAGAATTTGCTGCAGCATAAGCCCGAGGGTGACTCCATTTTCGAGACATGCCACAATCTGTTGCAGACGGTGCTGAAACAAACCCATCCCAATGGTCATCCGGCGCTGCTGAAGGGCTTTGAGGAGCCGAAAAATGCATGGGAAGAGTTCATGTCGCTCTGCCAGGACTCGCAAGTGAAGCTCAAGCAGCTCTGCTCCAAGTGGGATGAGTTCGATTCTATTATCGATGAGCTCGACAATTGGATGAAGAATGTTGAGGCTGTGGTAAAGAATCAGAGTCTGAAGAGCACTGCCGAAGCTAAGAATGCTCATTTGAAGCAACTGCAAGAGAGTGCCAAGGATATTGAACGTCGCGGCGTAGCTATAAATCAGCTGATGGATCAGGGACGAGAAATTGAAGGGGAAACCGATTTGAATTTGAAACTTTCTCGCTTAAACACGCGCTATCAGACACTGAAGAACCTGTGCAAGGAATCAATAGCGAAGTACGTAAACTACGTCAAGGATCACGACAGTTTTGACGCGGACTATGATAAATTTAAGCAGGATTTGCAAAACTGCGCCAACGAGCTGGCGAAGACCAATGAAATCGTTGGTGATCAGAGCGTATTGCAGGATCAGCAAAACAAATTACGTGAGATGTCTGACAAGCGCATTGTAGACTCCACTGTGTTCGAGAGTCTGATTGATCGCGGTGAGAAGCTGTACGGCCACACGAGTCCTGAGGGTCGTGAGATCATACGTCAACAGCTGCGATCCCTGCGCACTTTGTGGGACAACTACACGGATGATCTGAACTCGGCTACGCATAAGATTGATCAATGTCTGCTACAATTTAATGAGTTCACCATAGCTCAAGATCAGCTAACCAAGTGGCTCAAGGATGTAGACAAGGCCATGCAGAGCCATACGGAACCGAAAACAACGCTCCAGGAGAAACGCGCTCAGCTGCAGAATCACAAGCTGTTGCATCAAGAGATCACCACACACAATGTGCTCGTTGATAATGTATGCGACAAGGCGCAAATCTTAGTGGATCAAATAAAGGACAACTCCCTGAACGTTTATCTGCAGTCGATCAAGCAGCTATTCCAGAACATTGTGCAAAAGTCCGATGAAATACTGCAGAATCTGGAGAGCTGCGTGCAGAAGCACAGCGAGTTAAATAATGCATTGAGCTCTGCTAAGACATGGATCTCGAATGAGAAGGCCAAACTGCTGGAATGCGATGATTCCTACGGCGAAAAGGCAGATATAAAGCGTAAAATTGAAACCCTTGGCCAATTGGCACAAAATAAACCCCAGGCGATGAAAATAATAAGCGAAATACGTGCGCAATTTGAGACCGTGAAACCCGCCACCTCCGAGAAGGGCATTGAGGTGCTTGAGAAGGAAATCGATGAGCTGGAAACAACAATGAAGAGTCACTTTGATGACATCGAAGGCATCGAGGGCAAGCAAAAAGATGTACTCTCACAGTGGGATACATTTGAGCAGAATCTGGAAGAGCTCACCAAATGGTGTCGCAACGCTGAGGCCGTGTTCCGTGAGCAGCAGCTGAAGTCAACGCTGCATGAGAAGGTCGAGCAAATGGATAAATACAAAATACAGAGGGAGCTCATACTGCAAAAGGAGAAGGAAATCGACGCCTTTGGCGATACGGCACATGCTTTGCTCAACAACTGCGGTGCAGATCGCCTGAAGACGTTGACAACGCAAATCACAAATCGTTATCAACTGCTGCAGGTGTTGAGCAAAGAGGTGGTCAATCGCTGGTCCAATCTGGTGGACGATCATCAGTTCTATCAGGACAAGTATAACGAGGTGGACTTGTGGCTGCAGCCGATTGAGACGCAGCTGGAAAAGGCACTCAAGGATGAGCCCACACAAAGCTCCAATATACTGCAGGTTTTACTTTCGGAACGGGAGCAGGCTGAGATCTTGTTTGGTGCATTGAATGCTGCCGGCGAAAAGGCTTTGCCCGAGACATCGACCCAGGGCAGAGAGAAGATTCGCAAGGACTTGCGTGACATACGCGATCGTTGGGATAAACTGGACGAAGGCATTCGTAATTTGGAGAAACGCCAAGAGGCACAATCCGTACAGCTATCCAGCTACCAAGATATACTGACTCAAACAGTCAACTGGTTGGATCAGGTTGAAAAGTTGCTGCACAACGAGAACCCGGCGAGCTGGACCAGTGCACAGGAAATTCGCTCCAAGCTGTATAAATACAAGGCGACCAATCAGGACATCAATTCGCACAAGCGCATTGTCGAGGCTGTCAATGAGAAGGCAGCAGCTCTACTGAGTAGCGCCGCCCCAGCCAACGCTGATGAGATCGCCAAATCTGTGGCTGATATTAACAAGCGCTATGAACAAGTTGGCCAGGATTGTGCTAAGCTGGTAACAGATCTCGATGCAGCATTCGAGGTATATCAGCAGTTCAGTGAGCTGCAGAAAGCACAACAGGATTATCAAAAGAACCTGTGGGATCGCCTGACCGGCTACTCGGACTATTCGGGCAACAAGGCTGCGTTGCAAGCGCGTCTCCAAAAGATCAATGAAATTCAGGATGCTCTACCAGAGGGTGTTGCCAAGCTGAAAGCACTTGAGGAACACATCGAGCAGCATGCGGGCAGCATACCAGCTCGCTCTAAGGAAGCCATGACACGTGATTTGGCCAATTTGCATGCCGATTTCGAAAAGTTCGGTGGATCACTGAGCGATGTGAAGAGCGGGCTAGAGAATCGATTGCAGCAATGGAACGACTATGAAATCGATTTGGATCGCTTGATCAACTGGCTGGGTGAAGCTGAGAATACGCTCAAGAACTACAACCTAAAGAACTCGTTTGAGGAAAAGGAGGAGCAGCTGAATCGCTTCCAGTCTATGGCTCAGACTCTGCGCCAGAACGAAGCGGACTTTGAGAAAATGAAGGATGACACCTCAGAGTTGGTGCAAAGCTCGGGCGAGACGAGAATCGCTGTCAATGTGCAACAAGTTTCATCACGTTTCCAGTCCATCCAAGCAACTGCAAAGGAAATACTCAAGAAATGCGAACAAGCTGTTCAGGATCATTCCCATTTCAACGAGAAGTACAAGCAATGCGCTGACCTCTTGGCCAATGCACAGGCACGCTACGATGACTGCAGCGATTTGTCTACGGTGGCATCACGCGATGATCTGCTCAAGAAACAGCTGATCATCCAGGAGCTGCTGGCACAGCAGCCCACGGCAACACAGCTGCTGAATAGCACCGTAGAGCTGGGTGAAAAGTGTTACAGCTCCACAGCCACCGAAGGACGTGAGGCCATACGCAGTCAACTGAATGATCTTACCTTCGATCAGCTGTTCGATAATATTGCCAGTACTGCTCGCAAGATACAGGATAAGATTGCCAAATGGTCTGGTTTTGATGAGACCGCTGACAGTCTGAAGAGCTGGCTAGACAATGTGGAGCGCGAACTGCCAGCTGAGATTGAGCTGATGACCACGCTGGATGAGAAACGCAACAAGCTGCAGGCCTATCGTGATGTGCTGAATGATATCTCCAATCATCAAGTGGAAGTTGGCAATCTGCACGAGATCGCAGCTAATTTGCCCGAGAAAACTGAGCATGTGGATCAGATTCTAAAGGATATCACAGATCGTTTTGGCAAACTGCAAAAGCGCGCCCAGGGCTATGTGGAACGGTATGAGGGCATTGTGAGTGCTCATCAGCAATACTCCAAGGCTGTCATGGATGCACAGGAGTTCATTGATGCCACTCTGAATACTGTGAACTACTGGGGTGATCTGGATTTGGAGCAAACCTCTTTGCATACCAATCTAGATCGGCTGAAGAACCTGAAGGCCAGTCTGGCCGACGAGTTTCCACGCGTGGATCAAGTCCGAGCGCTGGGCGAGAAGGTAATACCCGGCACCGTTGATGTGGGTCAAGTGAATATCAAATCCCAGATCGATACAACACAACAGGAATGGGAAGGTCTGCTGGCAGCCATTGGCTCAACTATCGAAGCTATTGAGGCACGCCTGCAACAGTGGTCGGAGTATGAGCAGCTACGTGATCAGTGCTTGGCCTGGATTCGGGACACCGACAACGAGTTGCATGCCATCGACCTCAAGGAGGATCTGCCCAAGAAGCGTGCCCAGTTAGATACACTGAAGGCACTGCAAGGTGATGTGCGTGCCAAGGAATTGGAAGTGGATAATGTTACGGAGAAGGCGCAAACCTTGCTGAAGGGACCCAGCACAACTCGTTCGTCTGGCCCCGAATTGGTTACCAAATATCAGCAAATCTTCCACAAAGTCAAGGACTTGAATAATCGCTGGCAGCAATATGTCAGCTCTCACGAAGACTTCGATAACTCCATCAGCGAGTGCGCATCGTGGATAAATGGCATTAAGGAGAAATTGGACTACTGTTCGGACATGTCGTCGATGAGTCAAAAGGAACTCGACAAGAAACTGGCCACCATCCAAGATGTGATTCTGCTCAAGGACGAGGGATCTGCACGAGTGCTGAAAATCTTGGAGCAGGCTCAGCATGTGCTTGCAAATACCGCACCCAATGGCCACGAGGCCATTAACAAGGAGTTGTCAGAGTTGCAGGATCTTTGGTCTGGCATTGCTCTGCGTATTATGGACGTCAAGGCTAATCTTGATGATTCCATCACGCAATGGTCTGGATTCCTGGATCAAGTACAAAATGTGCGCAAGTTCAACGAATGGCTGGATGCATTGCTCAAGGAATTGGGTGAGCATCAGACAACCATGACGGAGAAACGCGCCCAGCTGGATCGTGTCAAGTCCACGGAGGAGAAGGTTCGCGTGGAAAAAATCGATGTGGATTCTCTGAAGATTCAGGCTAAGGAAATGATTGCCAGCGGCCAACAGAGCCAAGCGGCCTTCCAGGCACAAAAAGTGCTGGACACATTCGATGAGCTATTTGCCAAGACCCAGAAATTATTGTCGGATCGCCAGGATCAGTACAGAGATCATCGTCTATTCAAGGAAGCGTACGATGACCTTGTCAGCTGGATAAGTCGAGCACGTGAGAAATTCCCCGCACTGAAACAGAGCAGCCTCAGCGACAAGCTGGCCATTGAGAATGCCGTGCAGGCCACCGAAGCTCTGCTCAATAAACAGGCCCAGGGCGAACTTCTAGTTGAGCATTTGGTGCACACTGGTGAGGTGGTTCTGGCAAGTACATCGACGCAGGGCCAAGAGATCATACGCAATGATATACGCGCACTACGTGATAGCTTCGAAAGTTTGTTCCGTGAGATCAATCAGCAGAAAGAGAACTTGGAAGTTACCATGGTGCAATGGCGCGCATATAAAGAGGAGTATGAACGTCTCATGGAATGGCTACAACAGATCGATATACTTGTCAAGAACCATAAGCTGAACCTCTGTCCCAATCTGCCCGACAAGGAGAAACAGGTGGCCGATATGCGTGAGGTGATGTCTCGCTTGGAAAAGGGCAAGGATGACATTGATAAGTTCAATGCCTCCGCTGCGGGTCTGCTCAAATCGCATCTGGATAGCTATGTGAACAATCAGCTTAGACATTTGGGCTCCATGTATCAGGTACAGGTTAATTTGGCCAAGGATGTGCTGAAGAAGGTCGAAACGAATCGCGATCAGCATCGCGAATACGATGCGAATATGAAGTCGGCCAGGGATTGGATAGCGAATGCCAAGCAAACTATTCAATCTGCTGGCGATGGAGCTGGCTCGAAGGAGGCGCTTCAACGTCGCCTCGAGCAAATCCAGGACTTGATACGCAATCGTGAATATGGCCAAAATCTGGTGCACACAGCCATCAATAATGGCGAGAAGATTATTCGTAATACGCGCTCCGATGGACGCGATGCCATTAACAGCGAAATGAAGGAGCTGCAAACCGATTGGGATCGCCTGGTCAAGAAAATGTCCACCGCCAAAGTGCAGCTAGAGACGAATCTGTTGCAATGGGCTGACTACAGCTCCAGCTATACGCAGCTGCAGCAATGGATCACCGACCGAGAGGCCAAGCTGCAACAGGCGTGCGAGCAAAAGATTATCAAGTCGCAGCGTGGACAGCCAGGTCTCAGCAGTGGGCTGAGCGAACGCAAGGCCAATCTGCGCCAGACCAACAACATTGTCCAGGATATTGTCTCGTTTGAGCCCATGATACAGTCGGTGACCTCGAAGGCCTCTGATTTGCAACAGGGCGCACCGGCTACAGAAATCTCCGATAAGTACGAGAATCTGACCAAACAGGCCAAGGATCTGTATGCCAAGCAAAAGAATACCATCGATAGCTACCAGGCGTTGATCGATGCAGGCAATGAGTTTGCCACCTGGTTACGCAATGCCAAGGAAAGACTGAGCAAATGCTCCGAGCCAACGGGCGATAAGCAAGCCTTAGCCGAGAAGACGCATCAGCTTAAGATTCTGCAGGGTGAAGTACCCGAGGGCTCCACAAAGCTACAAAATGCATTGGCTCAGGGTGAGATTGCTTGCCGCACAGCAGAGCCCGAGGATTGCGCAATCATTGAACAGGAAGTCGCACTTCTACAGGAGGAGTTCGATGCCTATGTGGAAGCACTGAACAAGGCCAAGGATTACCTGGAAGTGGGCATTGTCAAGTGGTCGGACTACCAAGATCAGTATACCGAGGCGCTCGAATGGCTTACCAAGACGGAAGCCCTCGTTCAGTCCTACAACAAGCTGCAGGACAGCCTGACCCAAAAGAAGGTGGTGCTGGAGCAATTCCAGGGACATCTACAAACTCTGTTCGACTGGCAGAAGACACTCGATCATCTGAACATGAAGGCTCAGGTTCTGCTCGAGACCTGCTCCGACACTCGCATCAGCAATGCCATCATGCAGCTGACCACCAAATACAACGCTCTATTGACGCTGGCCAAGGAGGTTATGCGACGCTTGGAGCTGCACTACCAGGAGCATCAACAACACCATTCGCTCTACGAGGAATGCCAGTCCTGGATTGAGAATACTCGCGAAAAGCTCGCCGAATGCGAGCAAATACCCGGCACATTGAACGAGGTGCAAATCAAATTGAATACGGTCAAGAATTTGCGGCAAGGCTTTGAAACGGGACAGAACAAGCTGCGCTATCTGCTGGAGCTTAAGGAGAAGGTCATTATGAACACCGAGCAGAATGGCGCAGCTAAGATTCAAGAGGATACCGAATCCCTCAAGCAGGACTTTGATAAGCTGCTTGTGGATCTGAACGATGTGCGCCAGAAGTTGGCCAATCGTCTGTCCCAGCTGGAGGAGATCTTCAAATTGTACAAGATTCTGCTCGAGTGGCTGGAGGACATTGAGCCCAGCGTCAAGGCCAGCGAGGAGTATTTGAATGACTTGAGCGAAAAGCGTGCAGCGCTGGAGAAATTCCGCGTCACACAGCGCGACATCAATGGACACAACGATATTGTGGAGAAGATCAATGTACGGCTGCGCGAGGACAATAGCTTGGACAAGGATGACTTTGCGCCTGGTCTGAACAAATTCGATGAGCTGCAAGCGCAAGTTAACAAGATCATCGAATCGCTCGAGAACCAAGTGAACAATCACGAGAAATACAAGCAGGCCTACAATGAGCTACAGGACTGGCTACGCCGCACACGCATCGAAGTGGAGCAATGCGCCGATTGTCATGGCGAAAAGGATCAGGTGGAGGAGCGTCTGAATCGCCTGGGCGATATACAGGCAGCCTCCATGGAGGGCAAATCACTGCTCGATGCCTGCGAGGAGCTCAGCCAGGCGGTGATCGCTACCAGTGGCAGCGAGGGTCAGGACAATGTGGTCCAAGAGATCAAGCATCTGAATGGAGAATGGGAAACGCTGCAGGCTCTATCGCGAGATGCGCGCAGCGGCCTGGAGACCTGTCTGGCCGCCTGGGAGACATTCCTGCAAAAGTTCAACAAAATAAATTTGTGGATTGTAACAATGAGCAAGCGCGTTGCCAAATCACAGGAAGCCGATAATAAAACCACCGAAGATTTGGTCAATGCTAAGGTAAGCAACAAGTCTCTCGTCAAATCTCACGCAACTGTCGCACGCAACGCTAACTAAAAGAAATATATCTATAATCAATTTAAATGTACTAAAATTACTCGCAAGAGTGCACCCTGTAGCAAAATTTAAATGTATATCTACACTATATAACTAGATATATATCAACATCTATATATGTGTATATATAAACTGATTCACATACTAAAAAACAACTAATCAGAATTGCTAACTTTTCAGCTAATCACTGTCGCCACACTCACACTATTGCAGCTAATCATTTCTACACAGACTTTGTCTAATGCCTAATTATGCTTTATGTGCCTATAGAAACCAAATCTGTTTTTGAGTTAAACTTTAACTAATATTGTATTCCTTCTTAGAAACTGCTTGATGAAGTGCTGGCCGAACGTGAAAATGTCGAGGATCTGAACGACAACTGTGAGCTGCTGATGGAGCAAAGCGCCTGCACTCGCATTCGTGATCAAACCATCGAGACTCAGGCCAATTATACGAAATTGTTGACATCCGCTCAGGGTCTGGTGGCCAAGATCGAAAAGAATCTGTCGGATCATACTGAGTTCCTCAACTATAAAAAGGAAATGGACGCCTGGATCGAGAAGGCACAGCAAGTGCTCAACGACTGCAGCATCGATGGGGATGCCTCAATCATTGCACAAAAATTGGAGACAGTCAATGTAAGTTTTTCGATTGATCTATCTATTTCACTTTTATTAAAGAACTATTCCATTCAATTGCAGTCACTGGCCTCCCATTTGCCAGAGGGTCAACATTTGCTGGTCATGGTACAAGATGCCTACTCGAAGGCCTCGAATATAACACCCGAGGACAAGCAGGAGAAGTTGCGGGAGCTGATGACCAAGGTGCGAGAGGACTGGGATGCCTTGGGCCTGGCTGTTAAACAGAAGCTCAGCGACTTGAAGCAAGCCCAAAATCGTTGGAATGATTTCGCAGCCAATAAGGAGAAGCTTGACAAATGGCTAATCGAAACCGAGAAGACCCTGAAGATAGCGCCTGAGACAAAGGGCGAGCTGAGCGAGATGAAAACGTTGCTGGAGCGCTACAAGACGCTCGGCAACGAGCTCAAGCAGAAGGGCAACGATCTGGAGCAGCTGATGTCGGAGGCACGTGACCTGGGCACCGAGGTGGATGCCGTCAATCGTTTGCAGTCGCGCTGCGATAAGCTGAAGAACGATTGTGCTGGCTACATTCGCGATCTGGAGCAGGAGATGCTCGACTATAATGGCTATCACCAAAGTCTGCAGGACGTGGAGAAATGGCTGCTGCAAATCTCCTTCCAGCTGATGGCGCACAATTCGCTCTTCATTTCGAATCGTGAACAAACTCAGGAGCAAATCAAACAGCACGAAGCGTTGCTGAGCGAGATTCAAAAGTATCAGACCAACTTGGATGATCTGAATGCCAAGGGTCAGGCGCAGATTAAGCGCTATGAGCCCACGACGCCTGCCATACGTCCGACTGTCGAGTCGCAGCTGAAGAACATACAGGAGAGCTACAACTCGCTGCTGCAGACGTCGGTGCAGATCAAGAATCGTCTGCTCGAATCGCTGGCCAAGTTCCAGGAGTACGAGGATACACTGGACAATATCATGCGCAATCTGGAGGCCTATGAGCCCATCATACAAACCGAACTGGATGCCCCGGCCACTAGCCTGGAGTTGGCACAGAATCAACTCAAGTGCGCTCAGGATATGCAAAATAAACTGAACAACGAGAAATCCAGGCTGGCAGCGGCCGTGCAGGCCTGTGAAGCAGCCACAGCTTCCATCAGCCGACCCAGCTCGCCCCTGGAGACGGCCATGCATGCCATACCCGAACGCGAACTGATGGTGCGCGCCAAGCTTGAAGATCTGCTGGATCAGGTGGGTTATATATTCAATTTAATTGCCTTAATTATTGGTATTTATTATACATTTGGTATTATATGCCTTATGAGATTATATGCATTGGTAGTTGTTGTGTTTTCATTTAGTAAAAATATTAACTAAAGTCGAAATTGGCGAAATAGACGGAGAGAAAAGGGCTATGTAGGATATACGAAATTTAGTAGAAATAGTTAATGGACATTTTAATTTATATGTTTGATTGGCTTATAAATTGATAATTTCATTGTCTAACCACAGCAAGGTATAAAACGAAATCTTTAATAGCTCAGTGTACAAAATAAAGTTATCTCATTTTTTGTTTGTGGTTCATTAACATGGATTGGCGATGTATTTATTTTTGGGTATATGTGCGCATTCTATGTCCATTTCCTACATTATTTAAAATCCTAAAATCTCAAAATTTAATAATATTGAATCATCACGACCTTTCGTGATATTTAATTTATAATATGAATTAAGGATACATAGAAAATTATGCTAAAAATATCAAATATTAAGTGTCTATAGATTTGCAGACAGACGGACCAATATTTTTTTACAACGGATAAAAGGCCAGCAGACTTATAGCTACGTTTTTGATTTATAGTTACCTATCAATTTAGATTTAGACAGGGTATGATTTATCTTAGCTTCTTTCCATCTATTCGCCAAATTGTACATTAATAAGAATCCTATTTATTTATTTTTAATACCCTTACTGCAACATTTTTTGTTAATTTTTATTTTATATATTTTCAAATTTACTTTTATACCTAATAACACCAACTACACCAATTTGATCAACTACCACCAACTGTACCAACTACTCCCAACCAAACACCGCTCTAACTTTTATTGATTTGCCGCACCGTAACTCCTGTTGTTGTTGTTGTTGCATATTAAAAACAAATACCCACTACCACGCCCACCTTGCTCGCCGCCTGCCTGTTCGCTTTGCATTCGTCTCTAAAAAAAAAAAAAAACCAAATATAAAGAAGCCGCCGCCAAAGACTCAGAGCTCAACCGAGGATGACAACGATCTCGACGTTGAGCTCAGCGATGTGAATGAGGCGCTGTCGGATCCGATTGCTTACGAGCGTATTCAAAACTATCGTCGCATAGTACAGCTGAATAGCGCACACGTGAGCAAGCTGAATGCACTCGCCGCTAAGGTAAGGGGTACTCTAATCTGCAATGGCGTCGGCTTTACTCTCCTTACTTAGAACTAAAACTCTTGCACACTCGATGAGGACAACATAAACTCGAATCTTTGTTTAATTCTGTTTTACCATTACTTATGCTTAGGTGCAATCCCACTTGGGTGGTCTGACTGCATCCGTTAGCGAACTGGAGCAACAGCAGAAACAGCGCGCCGAGCTGCAGGATTGGGTTAAGAAACAACAGAGCTCCGTCTCCGATTGGCTAATGCGTCCGTGCAAGCTGCGTCCGGAGGCCGCGCAACAAGAGCTCGTTGCCATGAACGATCTATTGAACTCTATTGGGGACAAGCGCTCCCAGCTGATGCTCGAAATGACAGGATCATGTAAGTTGCTAGAAAATTAAAAAGTTTGTTTAAGGTATGCGAAAGTATTTGAATAGACTGTGTAGTCTTGAGCTGGGCAACGCAACTGAACATGAAAGGAAAACAGAATGTTAAATTAATGTTATTTTCAATAAAGTCTTATAACTTAGTATTCCTCTAAATATCACATTTGATGCAGTTTTCTGCATAGTATTTCGCACTAACTTTCTTTCTTTATGCCAACAGTAGGCGATGAGGACACCGATCTGGATGATAACATTGACAAGCTGGAGTCGGAGCTCATGGATGCCATTGCCAAGAAGCAGGCGGGCCAAAATATCATCGATGGCTATCGCCAGGGCATGCAGGATGTGCAGAACTGGTTCGATACGCTGATCAAGCGCATGGACGTGCTGGATCGCGGTTCTGGTCTGAACTGTGCCCAGAAAATGGCGGCCATCAATGAGATTAAGAACGAATACGAGCTGCAGGGACATCCGAAGATACAAGAGCTGAAGGGCAAGGCCGCCCAGGTGGCTGAAGTCATTAGCAATCTGGATGGACAGCAGGTGGAGGAGCAAATGAAGTCGTTGGATCGTCGTTTTGCCGATCTGGGCAAGCGCATCGATCGCAAGGCCCAGCTGCTGGATGTGACCAACAAGGGCGTTGATGGAGCCAAGGGTGAAATCGATCAACTGCAGCAATGGGTGAAGCAGCAAATCGAGGAGCTGCAAGCGCCGGCTGCTCTGGGATTCTCGCCCAAGGATGCGGAGGCGCGCCAGCAAAAGATCAAGAGCCTGATGAAGGATGCCGAGGCAAAGCAATCGCTGGCCGATGTGCTCGAGAAGCGCATTGCCAACATGCAGCCCGAGCTGGAGTCTGCGGAATATGCCCAGCTGGAGTCCGCGTTGCGTAATCTGAATAGCGAAAATCGCAATTTGGCTGGCGTCTTGAAGGCCGAGCTGGATCGTGCCCTGGAGGCGAGCAAGGCGCGTAAAGCGCTCGAGAATGATCTGGACAAGGCGCGTCAATGGCTGAAGGCCAAAATCTCTGAGGTGCGCAAGCTGCCCGTCTATCATCCGCTGACCTCCGCTGAGATCGAGAAGAAGATCCAGGAGAACAAGAAATACGACGACGATGCCAAGCAATTCAATGACAGCGTCCTCACTGATGTCCAGCGTCAAGCTGCCAACATTATGAAGGATTGCGGTGATGCGGACAAGGCAGCGCTGCAGCAAATTCTGGATGAAATTGCCGCTGACTATCAGACGCTGAAGGATGAGAGCGGCAAGCGCGGTAAATCCCTGGACGATCTGTTGCAGGGACGCAAAGCCTTTGAGGACTCGATGAAGAAGATGGGCGACTGGTTGAACGAAATGGAGACCGCAACCGAAGGTGAACTGCGCACCACCAGTCTGCCAGTGCTCGAGGAGCAGTTGGCCCACTACAAGAAACTCCTGCAGAACGCCGAGAACATGGGCGGCGTGATCAACGATGTGTCCGAGCAGGGCAAGAGCATATTGCCCACGCTGAGCAATGCGGACAAGCTGAAGCTGAACGATGACATCAAGAACATGAAGGATCGCTATAGCCGCATCAAGCAGACAATCGATGATCGTGCCAATACGCTGGGCGACCACATCAAGAAGTATAAGGATGCCAAGAACCGGTTGGCCGATTGCAGTGAATTCCTGAGCAGCATACAGCAGCGCATGAGGGAGCTGAATCGGCCCATTGGCTCCAGAATTGAGGATGTGCAGGATCTGCTGGGTGCCTACGAGGGCATACTGAAGGAGCTGAAGGATAGCAAGCACAAAATGGGCGACATGCAAATGGACGATCTGCCCGAACTGCAGAGCATCCTGGCCCAGCAGGACGATATGATTAAGTTGATTGAGGATCAGTTGGCACATCTGCGTCAGCTGTTGATGCTACGTGAGCAATTCATTGCGCTAATCAACGAGATCATTGCCTTCATTATGAAGTACACGGATGTCATCATTGACATCGAGAATTCCCCGGACAGCCTCGAGGACAAGATCAACAAATACGACAATGTCATTGTAAAGATACAGGAGTGCGAGGGTCTGTTGGCCTCGGCGAATGATAAGGGTCAGAAGATCGCCTCCGAGGGCAATGCTGCCGACAAGAACAGCATCACGGAGCAGCTACAATCCTTGAAGAATCAATTGCAAAATCTGCGCAAGGCCGTCGAATCGCAGCGCCAGAAGCATCAGCTCCAGCTCGAGTCCCACAAAAAGATGGCTGCCGAGCTAAGCGAAATACTGGACTGGCTGCACAACAACGAAGGCGTGGCCAAGTCGCGACCCCTGCTCGATCGTGATCCCGAGTCGGTGGAACGTGAATTGCAGAAGCATCATACACTCAGCAAGGACATTGAATCCCAATTGCAGAAGTTCAACAAAATCAACGACAGCGTCAAATCAGACGTGGGCATGCCCAGCTCTCTGCTCGAGATGCTCTCCGAGGGTCGCTCTCTGGTCGTCTCGCTGCCGCATGAGCTGGAGGAGCGCGAGAAGTATTTGAAGAACAATCGCGACTCGCGTCTGGAGTATATGCAGCTGGTGGCCAAGTTCAACGATTGGGTGCACGAGGCTGAGCTGCGTTTGCAGAACAGTCAGCATGGAATCGACTACGAGCACCTTGTAAACGACCTGGAGGAGCACAAGATCTTCTTTGGCAACGAGGCGCCCATACGCAATCTGGTGCACAAGCAGATTCAGGAAGCTTCCGACAAGATTTGGTCCTCACTCAACAGCTATGAGCAATCCGAGCTGTCGGCCGAGCTCTCACAGTTCCAAACCAAACTGGCCAATATCTTGGCCAATGCAAAGACCCAGCAAAGCGAACTGGAGAGAGAGGCGGAACGCTGGCGTGAGTATCAACAGTCCATCGATCGCGTCAAGGCCACCATCGAGCGCACTAAATTTATCGATGAGCCCGTCCAGAATTTGGCCGGATTGCACTTTAATATTCAGAAGCTGACGCATGCCATTGGAAATGTACAGGTGAGCTAATCAAAGAGGACAAATAATAATTATTTGAAGAGCTGATTAGAGCTTTAAGTGATTTACATTATCAATTTGAGTAGATGTAGATAAATAACTTCTCTGCACACCTTGGAAGATCACAATATTTTACGGAATACTAAAGCTTTTCCTATGATGCTTGAATTATGCAATTTTGTAGGAAAGAAAAGCTTTGTGTAAAAAAGTAATTTTGCCATAATTATTATATTATTCTTTTTGAGAAGATAATCATAAAATACTAGGAAATTAAAATTAAAATCCATTTGAAAAACTATTTGGGGAAGAAATGAAAAATATATTATTTATATTTTTTATTTTTCTTACTCAAGAAAATTTTGACTCGTTTGAAATTTTTGATCAATGCGACTGTGAGTCTCTTATTTGTATGACTTAACGTCCATATGTAATCCTATATTAAATGAATCAGAAAGCCTTGACAGACAATCTGATTATGTTAAGTCTTTTAAAAACCTTTTATTGTATTTATGCACTCATTTATACATACATATATAGACGCGTGTGTACATGGCCAGTTCAGACCTGTTTTAAGTATGACACAACGTAACATCGTTTATAAAACTGCAAAACAAGAATTTGTATCTGCAACGTATGTAAGAGAATGTATCTGCAGATGACTTTCACGTTGAGTGCAAGCTGTTTTGGCTCCGCACATGATTTGCCGGCCGGCAAAACCAATAAACTTCAACTGACATACACTTTCCGCTCTCTTTGAGCTAAAGCTCTCTTCGGGCTCCGCTCTCTTATTCGAGCTCACATTTCAAATGGTTGTTTACTTTCATCATGTCTCCTTGAAAACTTATTAATGAGTTAATCTTTTAACCTGCACTTGTTAAGCTTATCAATGACTGCCAAATATCAAGTCTGCTGCTTAGACACAAAATTTCAACATAAATACTTATATGCACATGTATAGGAGTATTTTGTATATGTATGTTTAAGGCCAGCTGTTCGAGTGTAGCTCATGACATCATCAGCAAATTCAAAGAGGGAATAAACCAGTTTTGTCGTGAGGGCTGCGCGAATGGAATAATAAATTTGAGTGTACAAAAATTTAAAATCTTAACTGATATATGTACATAGTCTAGCAGTTTAGTAGATTAACTTTTAAAAAATTAAATAATTTCTTTGAAGCATATATTATTTTTATTTCAATCTGCTCGACGCTCTCTGCCCAGCCCTTTTGACAACCACGTTGTTTGACATCAACAAACACATGTTTAACAGCAACTTTTTTTGTTTTTGTGCCCGGCACTGAGCGAGCTTTAAGAGCGAGCACACTTCATCTCTCAGCGCTCTCAGTGGACAGCTGTTTTGTTGTTGTTGGCATRCCGGCTTATAGTAAAGCCAATAGCGATAGTGTATGGATGGCGCGTATTGTGTATTGGTGAGCAAGTGTGACGCAGTCAAGAGTAAATTATTGCTTCAAACTGCCCACACGTTTCTCTCATACTATTCCGCTGTCCTCTTGCCCGCTGGGCCTTGGCCGTAGTCAGTTCAACAGTATGTGCACATGTAAACGTGTTCATTCCACGTTCTTTTTTGCGATAAACCGCACAGTCGCAATTCGCTCTCTTTATATCTGACTAAGCGGCGCTCTTGGGGCAAGCTATACGCCAGTTCTCTTAAATTGGTTCTAACTCGTGCTTGGGCATATGCCGTATATTTTGTATTCGAAATTCACTTCTAGTTGAGACGTTTAACTGTGCGGTCGTCTACATTTTTTATGCGGCTTATAAAGTGAAGAATCGGCGACAAAGCAAAAGCAATAAAAATCAAAAGCAAAATATAAAAACAAAAAGAAATAGTGTTATGTTATTTTTGTGTTTTTGTGCGCAGCTTTGTTATATTTGAACGTTCTAATAAAATATGCCATGTGCTTGAAAAGCGCAAATTGAAAGAGAGACAGAGTGACAGAGAGAGAAAAGAACCAGACAAATTTAAAGCTAACGTCATCAACAAAAAGAAATACATTAAGTTTATATGTATATACATATATGTATATAGAAAGATACAATTGAAGTGCTGCTGCGGATACAAACGTGTGTGTCTAGGTGAGAAATTAAGAGAGTACATAACTTTCCATATTGTGAAATAAAGAAGTAAGAAAAAGATTGTGCCACATGCACATATACATACACACGCATACACATACATATGTCAAAGCTTAGGCGATGAAATGTCAAAGGAGAAACAAATGAAATCGAAGTGGAACCATAGGCGGCGTTACAATTATAACTCAAAATATCTGAATGGGAAATAAATTTGTAGGCTAAGTACAGGGACCGACAGATACACACACATACATATATTGCTGCCCAAGTTCAT